GTCTATCTGGCGAGGTGGATGAAGGCACTTGACCATATCCACCTCACGACACTCCGACTTCCCTCGACAATGCTTTCCCAGGACCTCATCCATGGATAAAGGAGACTCGACACCTGAGGGTATCAAAAAATAAAGCCTTAGGCTCAGCAAAGCATACCCAAGCAAAAGAGGAAAAAGAAAACAAGCACCTACCATCGACGACGACGAAGAAAACCGCCATCTTGCCACGACGCCTACAGGAGGGGATCATCCCTACACCAGATAACAAAGCTTCAGAGTAGTCTTCAAGGGACACCTAGACATTCTTCAAGAAATCAGCCACACTCTGATTATGGGGAACACGCTTAGGAGTAATGTCGGCGAAGGTGTTCGCACAGTATCGCCCACTTCCAACCAAGCCCTCGTTCACCTATAGCCATTTATGTTGCCAATTTTTTGGAGTTCGACCATCAGGAACTAGAGAAAGTCCTCCTCATCGAACTGAGAATGTGCACTTGTCGTCGGTAAGGCAAAACCTAAAGAAATACTTGAACACAAAGTAATCAGTGAGGTAACCGTTGGCACGATAGATCATCTCAAACGCCACCACCTTATTTACAGCGTTTAGAGTTAGCATCTGAAGACTGCAACCATCCTTCTGGAGAACCTCCTCTTGGTAATCAGTCAATGGAAGATGAACACCAGCATCTAGGGTTTTCTAGTAAATTCCAATTTTTCCGCGGGAGGGGGGGGGGAGGGGACGAGATAAAACAACCAGTGGAGGGTTCCAAAAAGGAAACACCATAGGTGACTTCAAGTTGTTGATACTCAGTCGTAGAGGGAAGAATGTCAGGAAGATTCTCCATAAGGAAAGGTAGTAGAAAGCAGACTTAGGAAGGAGAACGACGAAGAAAAGAAGGTAGGTTTAAAGAAAACATTCTTGGACGCCCTTAAAAGAACGGAAAGGGCGGGACATTCAAAAGTATCTGACACAATGACGTAGCCACTAGCCATCATGAGAGGTCACGTCGTCATTAAAACCGGAGCGGCGGATACATAGGAAGCTGACGCGTGTGGAGAAATCAAGTCCAGAATGTTGTAACTAGCGTTGCAACACTACGGCTACCAGACTGGGGGAGTTGACGATGTGCTTAAAGCCAGTACAAGAGAATCACACCTGGCCAAGAAACCGGGCGTGCTAGCCGACCCAAGCCCAACGGGCTCAGCACCCATCGGCACCCTAAGAGCAGGGCGCCCCGAAAAAAGGCTCGCGCCCGACAAGGATGCTCCCAACACTAAGACAAAAGATACGGTCAGAAGACAAGAGACATGATCAGACCATTATCACCAGAGCCAATAAGAGCACTTTAATAGATAAAGGCACACGACTCTCCGATCAGCGCCTCTGACCCTGTCTCCTTAAAGCGATCCTGTCTTGTACGGACAAGACATAATCGGTAGGTATAAAAGGGTACGCTCTGGAGCTCACAAGGTAAGCTATCTTCATCCAGTTACTTACCGAAAAACCCTAGATACCATCTAACTTGATCGTCGGAGCATCTTTCCGGAAGCCTCCTCCCGGGAAACGGCAGACGGCCCTTCTTTCCTGTGCTCTTGCAGAAACCACCGGAGATTCAATATAGTAGAGCGAGTCCAGGAACATAGCGAGGTCACATTAGTAACCTTGTAAATTATAGAAGAATGTTTGTTCTCAACTGTTCTCGCAATAAAAAAAATGTTCTTCATTGACCGTATATATATATATATATATATATATATATATATATATATATATATATATATATATATATATATATATATATATGGAAAAATGAATATATGGCTGTTATGTACTTAAGCTTAGGTATAAAATCTTTTAAATGCTTTAGTTTTAAACAAAACAAATCCAAATTCACTTTCTCTGATTTTTTTTTAATAAAATACCGTTGAATTAAGGTGAATTATAGAAAGCCATCGAAGTTTATTGGAAAAGTGAAAACTAATAATATTTTTTTTAACGAATGTAATTCAAACTTTTGGTCCTTCAACTGCAAAAACTATATCCAATGATTTGAGAAAACCTTGATTGAGTTTTGTATGTTCTTCTTTTATTTGTATTCTATAAGATATATTTAAAATTTGTTAAATTTTGGTAGGGTTGAATAAATTGTCATAAATCTTAATGCTTTATATTCTTAGATACAATGAAGAAAAAGAATACAAATTCGATCATTTATTAAGTCACGTGATTAAGTAAGAATAGTAAACGAAATATTGTGATTAGTTACGATATATATGGATCAAAACTACATGTATTGAACCTTTATGTTTATATATATATATATATATATATATATATATATATATATATATATATATATATATATATATATATATATGTTCAGGTTTATTTGAGACCATGCTAATTTTGTGAAACCGTGATACCAAAACTAAAAATAATTTTAAAGTGCAAAAATAGAAAGAAAAATCCAAAATTTCTTTTTTTAGTTATAATTTTCGGAACTTTAATTACCTAAAAAATTAAAAATAATAAAAAAATTAATGCTTGTTTTTAAATACTTGAAATATTCTAATAGAATATTATACTTTAAATATTCTAATATGATTTTTAGAATGTTAGAATATTATATTAGATTTCTCAGATACGTAGAATATTCTATTTATTCTACAAGATTAATGAAAAAAATAAGAATTTTTTTATATTTTTTTATAATTTTTTTGGTTTTTTTTTTTTGGAAAATATAAATTTCGAAAATAATTTTTAAAAATTTTCAATTATTTTGCATTTTAAAAATGTTCTTTTTTTTATCTATCAAATGAATGACTAGGATTGCATCTAACAGTTTCACAAAATTAGGTCGTGTCACATTAAACTATATATATATATATATATATATATATTATATATATATATATATATATATATATATATATATATATATATATATAGATATATATATATATATATATATGGTGAAGTTCAATAAAGAACCATAATTAACCAAGGAACCAATCTTTTTTTCAACTTTTAGAATTTATTTTTTATCAAAAAAAAAACTAAAAATACTGAAATTCATAATTTTTATCCTTTTTCCAATGATATAAAATTTGATTTTTTTTACGTTAAATTCACAATGTGAATCTTTGAAAATTCACAACGTGAATCCAGATTCACACGGTGAATCTGAAAAATATTTTTCACATTTCCAATGTTAATATATGAATTTAGATATTTTTAGATTTTTTTTCGATAAAGAATAAGCTCTAGATATTGAAAAATAGATTTGGTTCCTTGAATAACCAATAATTATGGTTTTCTATTGAACTTATATATATATATATATATATATATATATATATATATATATATATATATATATATATATATATATATATATATGGGGAAAAGTGAATATACCCTTAAAGGTATATAAGCTTAGGTACTCAAAGTCACCATACTATGTTCTTTGTATCATATGTATATATCGTAATTATCCAATGTTCTTATAATAGAACTTCTAATTTGATTTACTTCTAAGATTTTTATAAATTTTACATTTATCTTCCTCTTACATAATTTTCAGTTTCAACTCTAATATATATAATCTAATAGGTGTTCGGCAAAAAAAAGTAATATAAGAGGAAACAATAGTGAAATTTCGAAATTTTTGAAAGTAAATCAAGTTAAGGTTTAAGTTTAATAACATTATAATGAATATATCAAACAAAACAATACTATAGTAGTTTGGGTACCTAAGCTATATATATATATATATATATATATATATATATATATATATATATATATATATATATATATATATATATATGGAAAAGTGAATACACCCTTAAGGGTATATAAGCTTAGGTACCCAAACCCACCATAGTACATCGTTTTGTTTGATATATTTATTATATTTTTCTTAAACTTAAATCTCTAACTTGATTTGTTTTCAGGATTTTCAAAATTTCACTATTATCTTTCTCTTACATCACATCTTTTTGCCAAACACCTAGTAGACTATATATATTATAGTTGAAAATGAAAATTATATAAAAAGAAGATAAATGTGAAATTTATAAAAATCTTGGAAGTAAATAATGTTAGAAGTTGAATTATAAGAATATTGGACTATTACAATGTATATATATGTTACAAAACGATGTAGTATGGTGAATTTGAGTACCAAAGCTTTAAGGGTATATTCACTTTATATATATATATATATATATAATATATATATATATATATATATATATATATATATATATATATATATATATAGGCTAAATTGAATATACCTAACAACCTCATCAAACTACGTCATTTTGAATTAAATTTTCATTGCAATCATCCAAGGTTCTTAAACTTCATCCCTAAACTTGATTTACTTCAAAAAAATTTTAGAAATTCATCATTATATTTCTCCTACATCCTTTCATTTGTAGCAGTAGGATATGAAGTTCATCAGGTGGTATTCGATAGAAAGACGTGATGTAAAAGAAAGATATTGGTGAAAGTCCAAAGATTTTGGAAGTAATCAAGTTATGGGGTTAAAGTTTAAAAACCTTAGGCAATTACAATATAAATATGATACAAACCGATGTACTATTATGGAATTAAGTACCTAAGCTTATATAAGGTTGTTGGGTATATTCACTTTACCCATATATATATATATATATATATATATATATATATATATATATATATATATATATATATATATATATATATATATATATATATATATATATATATATATAGGAGTAGGATCAAATGAGAACGCCTAAAAGGTTGAGAATGTGAGAACAATTATCAGCCAATCATTTTATTAGGGTATTTAAGTAAATTTGTATTTAATCTATTTTTTAATTAATATAATACAATTAATAATCAATATATTATCCATTAATATTTTCCTATAATTAAGGGATATTCCATAGTTATCGTTCAATGAGATATTGAATTGAAGATACGATGTCCAGGGACCATTCGTGTATAGCAATCGGATTTTCAGTCGAATGTTGTATATTGTTAATCATTTACGTTTGAAGATAACAACGCAGTATACCATTCGTGATTCAAGTCAATATCGATGCCGGACTGTTTTGATTACAGTAGCGATGATACAGAAGATGATGATCAATATGGCGAAGAAGACGTCAACTGTAATGAATATGATGACGACGATTTCTATAAGTCTGATGATCAATTCGACGGAAGAAATCAAATCTCTGATTATGCTAGTGAAGGTAACTAATGAAAACAATGTCAATATCTTGTAATTACAGATCGTGTTTTTCAATAGTTATTGAGTTTTTGTATATGTTGAATAAGACTGAGTACATATTTGTATATGATTAGTCATATACGTTGCATGTATTAATTACGTAATGATGGTTTATATCACATATCGTTGTACAGGAGTCCCTCGTTGGTGATTTTTTCTTAAGTTTAATACAATGTTGATTAAGTTTGATAATCATTGGTGATTATGCGTTAATACGACTCAAACATGTAAACAATTCAACTTTGGTTACTGTTTCACATACGTTTATTATGATTATAAAGTTCTTTAGTTTATGTATACGTAATTCATAGAAATTTATATTAGGTTTTGCATGTCGCATTATTGTTTTTTGTTGTCTTAAAAAGCAGGTACAAATCGAACTGATTCTGAAGAGGAATCATTCAATAGTAATGTTGTTGACTCGCCTGGTGGGAAAATCAAGTTGTGGAAACCTATTGTTCCTAAAGATTTAATGCCAGATGTAGATGCTATATATCAATCATTAGAGGAGGTGGTTGAAATGTATAAATTATATGCAGATAAAGCAGGTTTTGGTGTCAGGTTAAATACAGTAACGAGGTTTGGTGACAAAACCATTAAAAAAAGGTATGTAGTGTGCAACAAAATGGGTAAAATACCTAACAGATCAACTGACACTTTGGATCCTGAGGGGAGTGGAAGGAATAAACGAAACTCAAACTTCAAAATTACGGACTGCAAGGCATTGATAAAGTTTTAAAGGTTACATATGCAAACTAATGCTTGTAAAATATATGAGTTTGAAGAGAATCACAACCACCCCCTAGAGACTAAAGAAGAAAGACGGTATTCCAAACATGCACGACGACTTAGTTACAAAGACAAGGAGTTTATAGTGCGTTCTTCAACGTCTAACATTGGTGCAACAAAGGCACACAAGTTACAAGCTAGTTTGCAAGGAGGTTATGAAAACGTTGGCCCTGAAGCAATTGATTATAAAAATTTCAGAAGGAAGGTGGGAAACATTATAGGTGACAAGGATGCACAGGTGGTTGTTGACAAAATGAACATGAGGAAAGATGAGTTTCATAATTACACATTTGAGTATAAATTTGTTGATAGTGTGTTAAACGCAATGTTTTGGGCGGATGAAACCGATAAGTTATATTACAAGGAGTTTGGAGATGTGATATCATTTGATGCTACATTCCGAACAAATAAGTATGCTCTTATACTCATTACACACTTTTTTTTAAGTATGAATATTGATGTATTTTTGACTTCATAATCAATATTGAATTTGTTTTTAATTACCTTTTTTATACAGGTATGGAATGATTTTTGTGCCGTTTACAGCCATTGATAACCACAAACGTTCAATAAACATTGGGGCAGGTTTGTTAAGCAACGAGTCAATAGAATCTTATCGTTGGTTGCTTGAAGCTTTTTTGAAAGCACATGTGAAACACCCTCAATTAGTGTTAACATACCAAGATCCAGTAATTCTACAGGCCGTTCAAGCAATATTTCCTAATTCTAATCATCGTTTATGTATGTGGCACATTATGAAAAAACTACAAGCCAAGGTGTGTATATTTTGGCCTAAGTTAGCACGCAACATTTTTATTCAACAATGATTTACACAGTTTTACATATTTTTAATAACGATTAGCATACATATTGTTTATTCATAGGTAATCTAATAAATTTCTATTTTTTTTAGGTTTCAGCCGATTTTTTGAAAAACACTGATTTTCGCAAGCGTTTTACAAAGCTTGTATGGAATGTCTATATCGAGCCTGAAGTGTTTGAATCAAGGTGGAAACTGCTTATGAGAAAATTCAAACTACAGGACAAAAGATGGTTCAAAGACATGTACAGGGATCGAAATCTTTGGATTCCAACCTATTTTAAAGACATGCCACTCCACGGTCTGATGAAAACTATTCAAGGTCTGAAAGCGTGAACTCATTTTTTAATAAATACTCTAACTGTGGTAATTTGCTTATCTATTTCATGATGAACTACGACACCGCAATTGGAAAGCAACGAAATGCTCAACAGAAACTAGAACATGATACAAAAAATGCAAAGCATGAAATGACGCTTCCAAGTGGCTTACTAGAACATGCAGCTGTGGTTTACACAAAAAAGATTTTCTATGAGGTCAAAAAGGAAATATTTAAAGCAGCCTGGTACTATTCTCTCGACAGTGTTGAAAAGATTGATGGGTGGCAAGTTATTATGATTACACAAACGGATAAGAGCAAACAGTTGAAGATAAAATGCAAGGTTATATTCATCGTTTAAATGCTTTTCATTAGTCATCATACAAGTATAATATCTAATTATTTTTAAATTACATATATTTTTTTCATTATTATGCAATAACCACCAACTAATATGTTACTTCAATCAGTTACTAACATACATTATTTTTATTATACAATGTAGGTTGAACTAAAGTTGCCTGAAAAAGAAGTTAAATGTTCATGCAATCACTTCATACGTACTGGTATTTTGTGTCGTCATATTTTTGTTGTACTGAAAAACAACCATATTGAAGAGATTCCAGAGCAATATATTCTAAGAAGATGGAGAAGGGATGCAATTTCCAGCCATTTGTTTGCCATGAAACATGTTGCCATGGAA